ATTTTTCTTTACAGCATTGGACTTTCCTTTCACTTCCAGGCATATCCGCAACTGAGCGTCCTTTCGGCTTTGGCCCAGCCGCTTCATCAGCTCTGAATCTACTTGTACTTGTCCTCCGCTCTTCCTCAGTAGCATGTTGGACGCCTTCCGACCTGAGGGGCTCATCTTCCAGCGTCATAACTTTTATATACTTGTTGACTTTGTCCATGGAGTTTTCTTGGCAGGGATACTGGAGTGGCTTGCCGGTTCCTGCTCCAGGTGGATCACGTTTGGTCTAAACTCTCCACCATGACCTGTCCATCTTGGGTGCCCTGCTTGGCCATAGCTCATAGCTTCTCTGAGTTCTTCAAGCCCCTTCGCCACGGCAAGGCAGGGATCCATGAAGGTTTGATTGGATTAGTCATGGTCAATTAAACCCGGAAACTTTGTATTGAGAGCTGTCAAAGTATTGGGAAGGGTGCACATTAGCCTGCAGTACCTGCGTAGCTGCCACAAGGGGCGCTGTTCAGTAACGCTGATTGGCTGAAGCGGCCGCTGATTGACCTCGAGTTCAAGGAATTGGTCTACCCATTCAAAGAATAGGGTGAAGAGGGTTTGATATAGCGAAAAGGGTTCCAATACGGAGAGCTGTCAAAGTAGCGCTTCCTTGTTTACGGAAGGCTTTTCTAAGGGATGCCCCTCTAAAGGGGCATCTCCGGGGAAGGTGGGAGGTGTGTGCGGTGCTTGTGCATTACATTGTAATGGGGGGGGGGTCTCCTGCTACACAGTAAAAAAGGAGGGAAAGTCAAGCCCGGTGCCCCCTGGGAGAAGCAGTCGGTGCTTCTGCCCATTGCCAGGGGTGGCCCTGCTGAGCAGACTGCACTTTCCAGCAGGCTCCACAGTGTAGACTTCAGAGCAGAAGAAACTATGGTGATTGGCTATGCTCTCTAGGGAACAAAGGATGAAGGGTGATGGACTTGAATACAAGGAAAGTCAGCACAAGACAAGTGGTTCATTTTGACAAACACAGGAAAGCTGACAAGAGAGGACCTGTGATACACTTATCTGATGATTCAGAGGGGGAAAATGCAAGCCCTGAATTGATGTATAGCATTCCAGATCTACCGCCTACTGTCAGACCTCCTAGCACAGATGCTGAGCAGGAAGGAGAACCAGAGGAGCAGATTACAAGAAGTGGTACAACCAGAGGGGAGGAGAGTGATGATGAGGCACCCTGAGGTCTACAGGTATAGGGCAGCATACATTTAATCAATGATGATGATAATGTTACAAAAGTTGGGTGCCACCCCCACTCTGCTGAGCTGCAGCAAGAGTCCAAGGGGTTCCAGGCCTCACTCAGGGTCTGTGGTCCTTTGGAGAACTGAAACACAGAGGAAAGCATTCACCACCCCGCAGAGCCCATCGCCCAGCCCTTCCCATAGTCATAAGCAATACATAAATAATTTAAAAATACACAACCAAAATATACAACCAAACTGAACAATTTCCTCATAAATCACAAGATCTGAAGAAGAAGAAAAACCCAGCAGGAACAGACCCGACTCACAAAAACAACCTCCTAAGCCGAAGATTCTGTTCAGCAGCTTCAGCTTTTGCAGCAGAAGTCAGGGCCCAAGGCTCCCAGGCTAGGTGGGAAAAGGCCTTTAAAGCAGGGAGCAGGTCTTGCAGGAATCTCAGCCAAGGTGGCCTCAGCAGCCTCTTGGGTAAGACAGTTGGAGGTGTTAAAACCGGGGGGGGGGCAGTTAAACAACTTCCCCCAAATTCCAAGTCCCCACCATAGCCTCTAAGGCCAGACAACGACCATTGACACAGGGCACCATACATACACAACCATTTCCTTGGTTGTAGTGACTAATGACTCCTCTGGAAGAAGGGAATCCAGGCTTCCCCTGCCTCCATAATCCCTGAGGCATGCAGTCCCATACACAGCACCCCTCTCCTGTAGAAAACAATGGAGATCCGCTGATGGGTTTGCTGAGGCAGGGTGTTCCCAAAGCCCAACCGGGAAGGCTGGGGGACAAGGATAGGCATAGTTTTGTTGTTCTTTGGGTTGTTGTTGTTTAGTCGTTTAGTCGTGTCCGACTCTTCGTGACCCCATGGACCACAGCACGCCAGGCACTTCTGTCCTCCACTACTTCCCGCAGTTTGATCAAACTCATGCTAGTAGCTTCAAGAACACCATCCAACCATCTCATTCTCTGTCGTCCCCTTCTCCTTGTGCCTCCATCTTTCCCAACATCAGGGTCTTTTCCAGGGAGTCTTCTCTTCTCATGAGGTGGCCAAAGTATTGGAGCCTCAGCTTCACGATCTGTCCTTCCAGTGAGCGCTCAGGGCTGATTTCCTTCAGAATGGAGAGGTTTGATCTTCTTGCAGTCCATGGGACTCTCAAGAGTCTCCTCCAGCACCAGAATTCAAAAGCATCAATTCTTTGGCGATCAGCCTTCTTTATGGTCCAGCTCTCACTTCCATACATCACTACTGGGAAAACCATGGCTTTTACTATACGGACCTTTGTTGGCAAGGTGATGTCTCTGCTTTTTAAGATGTTGTCTAGATTTGCCATCGCCTTTCTCCCAAGGAGCAGGCGTCTTTTAATTTCGTGACTGCTGTCACCATCTGCACTGATCATGGAGCCCAAGAAAGTAAAATCTCTCACTGCCTCCATTTCTTCCCCATCTATTTGCCAGGAGGTGATGGGCCCAGTGGCCATGATCTTCGTTTTTTTGATGTTGAGCTTCAGACCATATTTTGCGCTCTCCTCTTTCACCCTCATTAAAAGGTTCTTTAATTCCTCTTCACTTTCTGCCATCAAGGTTGTGTCATCTGCATATCTGAGGTTGTTGATATTTCTTTGGGTGGCGGGTACTTAAGGTGTCTGGGACTAAATCTGGTAAGCGGAGCAAGTTGATGAACTTGGGTAACCTCAAGATCCCTCTCCCTCTTTATGACATGTTGATGGTGTATCAGTGATGTATCAATGATGCTTCTGGAAAGGTCTTATGGGAAGTGGGGGAAGGTCTTAAATGAGTGTGTAATCTATGTTGGGGTTCTTACTCCGTGTGGGAACCTGCTGTGCAGCAGTAAAGATTGTGGTCTACTGATCACTGTTTTGCTCCAAATTACTTGGCTGGAACTTCTTTCTTTTACTGACCACATAGAACCACGGGGGACTTGCACCCTGGCAAGCTGGGCTGTTGAGTAGTCTCTCACCCTGGATTTTTTCCTTAACAGAGGGGAGAGAGCAGTGGCAGTTCTGAAGCAGGTTGGTTAGATTAGTACTATAGGAACAGCATTATACTCCCCATTGCTCCTGCTGTAATAAAGTAACAAAAATGAACATTTTTACACAGTTATCTTGAAACCCTTGTTTATTTTTCAATAAATCCTTTGTATTCCACCACACCCCTCATCCTTTGCTACCTTAGGAGAGAAGTGTTCAAAGAGGAGCTCTCAGCAGGAAATAAGAGGGAGTTTGGTGCAGACCCAGTCCAGACCCATCTCATAGGGGGAGGGTGGCGCAGGGGTGTTTGGGCAGCGCCAGAGCCACGCCAAGGAAAGATGGGGTGGCAGAACATTGGGAGATAAGCCAGACCTCTGCAGAGTATATTCCGAAGTGCTTCCTTAAGAACAAACCCCGTCCTTCTTACAACAGCCCTAGAAGGCAGGCCGGGAAGTCCCCCCCCCCCGATATTGCAGGAAGTCGAGGAGCAGGGCTGGGGGCTGGAGGGGGGCTGACCCAGAGACTCTCTTCCTTGTCTGTTGGCAGCACTGGCGGCGCAGTCCCAAAGAAAGGACTCCTTCACGCTCTCTCCTTCCCGCCACTCCAACTAGTCCACAGACAAGGTCCCTCGGAGAACCTTCCTTGTCCGCTACAGGAAACCCCGAGCTCCGCAAAGCCCTTGCGGGGATGTTAAGAAGGGTCTTGAACAAACAAGAACCGCTCCGCCCCCCAACCCCCAAAGAGAACAAGGCCGGAACTCCCTCCTGGGCCAGAGGGCGGCGGAGCTGGGCGCGCTAGGCTTGCCAAGGGTGAAAAGGCACGGCGCCGGATTCCTCGAGAGGACAAGAGAGGAAGGCATCCCGAGCCCAAGCGAAGGGTGAAAAGGCCTGGCGCCGGATTCCTAGAGAGGACAAGAGAGGAAGGCATCCCGAGCCCAAGCGAAGGGTGAAAAGGCCGGATTCCTAGAGGACAAGAGAGGAAGGCATCCCGAGCCCAAGCGAAGGGTGAAAAGGCCTGGCGCCGGATTCCTAGAGAGGACAAGAGAGGAAGGCATCCCGAGCCCAAGCGAAGGGTGAAAAGGCCGGATTCCTAGAGAGGACAAGAGAGGAAGGCATCCCGAGCCCAAGCGAAGGGTGAAAAGGCCTGGCGCCGGAGTCCTAGAGAGGACAAGAGAGGAAGGCATCCCGAGCCCAAGCGAAGGGTGAAAAGGCGGATTCCTAGAGAGGACAAGAGAGGAAGGCATCCCGAGCCCAAGCGAAGGGTGAAAAGGCCTGGCGCCGGAGTCCTAGAGAGGACAAGAGAGGAAGGCATCCCGAGCCCAAGCGAAGGGTGAAAAGGCCGGATTCCTAGAGAGGACAAGAGAGGAAGGCATCCCGAGCCCAAGCGAAGGGTGAAAAGGCCTGGCGCCGGAGTCCTAGAGAGGACAAGAGAGGAAGGCATCCCGAGCCCAAGCGAAGGGTGAAAAGGCCGGATTCCTAGAGAGGACAAGAGAGGAAGGCATCCCGAGCCCAAGCGAAGGGTGAAAAGGCCTGGCGCCGGAGTCCTAGAGAGGACAAGAGAGGAAGGCATCCCGAGCCCAAGCGAAGGGTGAAAAGGCCGGATTCCTAGAGAGGACAAGAGAGGAAGGCATCCCGAGCCCAAGCGAAGGGTGAAAAGGCCTGGCGCCGGAGTCCTAGAGAGGACAAGAGAGGAAGGCATCCCGAGCCCAAGCGAAGGGTGAAAAGGCCGGATTCCTAGAGAGGACAAGAGAGGAAGGCATCCCGAGCCCAAGCGAAGGGTGAAAAGGCCTGGCGCCGGATTCCTAGAGAGGAGGGCGGGCGCAGGTCCCTCGCTGGTCTCTTCCGGCTCGGCTCTCTCTCCTCCCGGGAGCCTCGGAGGGCGAGTCTTTCTTCCCCCGGGGGAGGGGGAGCCGGTCCCGGGGCCGCAGCCGGGGTGCGCGGGGACCCCCAGGGCAGGAGGGAGCTGAGCATCGCGGCTCTTCCTCGGGGTCCGGGGGAAACGGGCGTGCAAAGGACGAGAGACAAAGCAGATGATTCACAGACGGGGAAGCCAGGCAGAAGCATTTGGACATAAATATCTGGGCAAAAAATGAACACCTGAGCCCTGCAATCCGTAGAGAAAGACGGTCGGAAGAAAAGGAAGCGCGTCTTCCTGCGGTGAAGTATGGATCTCCCTCCCGCGGGAGGCAGGCAGGGCCTCCGAGCTGGCAAGAAGGACGGGTTGTTAGCCCCCGGGGGTGGGACGGGGAACCTCGCCTGGCAGCTCTCCGCCCTCACAAGACTCCCACAATCAGGGCCGGAAGGTAAATGCAGGCATGCGATATAACAGTCCCGCACATCTGCAGCAGGAGGATGGAAAGTCCCAACATTCCGAACTAACCCCGTTCCCCGGGATTCTTTGGAAGCCATGGCTCTTTCACGGGGTCTGATTCTGCTTTGAAGGTACATTGCAGGTGTGGCCCGGGCGTGCTTTTTCCTTTCTTCTTTGAATAACTTTTTATTGAACTTTATAAACAAGGATAATAGAAGTAATGAATGATACCAATAATTAGACGGAGTCTTCTCATGTCATTTGTATATCACAAAAATAGCAAAATACATCTGCAGGAATATCTGCAATATATGTTTCATTATGAGTGTTCAACGTAGGATTCCTTGGTTTGATTCCTTGGTTCCTGAATAGGTTTTAAACAGAAGCAACATAGCATAGCCAAACTCCTAGAGAGGCAAGCTTGTGGTTGCTCTTAGGTTAACTCTCCCCCCCCCCTTCATGTTGCAAATGGAAGAATGCTAGATGCCCTCATGGTCCCTTCCAACTCTACAAATCTGTGATTCTTAATGGAAATGTTGGTCTATTGATGAGTTGTGGGAGGGAGGCTCAAAGTGAAGATGATGATTTATGTTTACATTTAAATTTAGATCAACCAGATTGAGCCAAGTACTGATGATGTGTGTGTTTTCTTCTGTAACCTCAAGGGGCAACAAAACCTCTGCAAATTCCAGCAGGCAAGTTCCCCACTTTCTTAAGGTATGTGTGTTACTGCTGTTCTTGTTGTTATTGTTATCACTATTTTTACTACTACTCCATTTATTATCCAGGGTGGGATACAGCAATTTTTAAAATCAACAAAATACAGTCACAGGAATAGGGTGGTCCTGTAAACACATGTCTGCGGTGTCAGAGGCTTTGGTGAATAGCGGAAGGTGTCAGATGTGCCTCTGTGGGAGGGAATTCCCCAACCAAGGAATGCCTCTCTTGGGACATCCCCCTTCCAAAACTCTGAGCGTGGTGAGACTACCAAGACCTCTCCCAATCCAAAAACATCCAATGGGTATTTTAGAGAAGGAGGTGGTTCTTCAGATAATGTGAGCACCTTGAATGGGGCTCAGAAATGAACTCACAACCAATGCAGCAGTTTTAAAAAAGCAAGTAAATGTGTTCTCAGGTCATTGTGGGGATTAAATGAGGAGGGGTGTAAGCCAAGTAGAGCTTTTTGGAGAAAAAGGTGGGATATAAATACAGTTAATAAAGAGAGCGAGCCCACCAGCTAGCCAATAATCTGGTCACTGCATTTTGGACCATCTTCCAAGTCCTCCTACAGCGTGGTGTAGTGGTTAAGAGTGGTGGACTCATAATCCGGTGAACTGGGTTCGCGTCTCCGCTCCTCCACATGCAGCTGCTGGGTGACCTTGGGCTAGTCACACTTCTCTGAAGTCTCTCAGCCCCACTCACCTCACAGAGTGTTTGTTGTGGGGGAGGAAGGGAAAGGAGAATGTGAGCCGCTTTGAGACTCCTGAAGGGGAGTGAAAGGTGGGATATCAAGTCCAAACTTCTTCTTTCTCCTCCTCCTCCTCCTCCTCCTCCTCTTCTTCTCTTCAAGGACAGTTTCACACAGAGGGCATTGCAGTAATTCAATCTGATTCAGAGCATGGATTACAAGGGACACCTCGTCACAGTCCCAAAGGGACAGAGATGGCAAACTAGCCCAGAGCTGGAAATGGGCACTGCTAGTCCCTGAGGCCACCTGAGCCTCAAGTGACCCTGCTGGATTCAGGAGTACCCCCAGGCATATATGGCTGTGTGTGGGTTAAGCTTTGTCACACCATCATCATCATCATCATCATCATCATCATTAATCCACCCTTCACCTTCAGTTCCCAGGGCAGATTACAACATTAAAAACCACATTAAAACCGTTTAAAACAACTTACGATCTCAGAAATAAGATGAGTCTTTCTTTACTTGCTTTTTAGCGCTGTCCCTTGGCTCCACCCCCACGTGCTTTGAACTTACCCCCGTCATCCTCAGGGGGTTGGCCAGGTAAGTATCTGGCCCTCAGAACAAAAAAGGGAAGACCCCACACCAGTAGTATGTTTTGAGAACATTGGAGATTCCAAGTGCTAGAAAATGAGACAGAAACAGGAAAGGATTGTGTGTTTAGCGGGGGAGGACAGGACGGGGAGCAGCTTTTGAGGGCCCCAGGTTTAGGACCCCCACCACAGCCTAGTGTCCACAATGCATTTGGTACTCACTCGTCAGTCGCAGTTCTGACTTCATGCATTGACTGAAAGGCAGGAACAAGCGGGGTATTCATCTCACAGAAATGCCCTCAGTTGTCTGCACATTTAGTATGGCAACATTACTTCTAGGAGGGCTAAAGTCTTCCTTTTTCTTTTAGAGAAAGCTCAGAGTCTGTGCTGTGGTGCAGTCCAACCCTGGTTCCTAGTAAGACTCATCCACGCTTACTCAGGGAACATTTTTCTTCTCCTGACAGTATACCAATTTTATAACAGAACAATGCGCTTGTTTTGTAGGACTTGTTAGTGCTTCTAATTGGGACAGACAGAACTTGGCAGAAGAAAAAGGGATCTCCGCGAGGCTTCATGAGAGCACAAATGGATGAGCAAGACTCAGCTGACCCTGAAGCAGGAAGAGGCCATGCTATCAAAACTGGGAGCAGTGGGAGTTTCTGGGGAAACTCGCTGCAGAAGGTCCTGGGTGAGGAGGACACCCTCTGCTCAGAGGTGCAGAGCCAGCAGTTCAGGCAGCTCTGTTCCCTGGAGACTGAAGGACCCCGAGAAGTTTGCAACCAATTTTACCGTCTTGATGGTCAGTGGCTGAAGCCAGAAAGGCATACAAAAGTTCAGATGCTGGACCTGGTGATCATGGAGCAGTTCCTGGCTGTCCTTCCACTAGAGATGGAGTGCTGGGTGAGGGAATGTGGAGCAGAGACCAGTTCCCAGGCAGTAGCCCTGGCTGAAGGTTTTCTCCTGAGTCAGGCAGAGGAGAGGAAGCAGGCGGAGCAGCAGGTGAGAGAGACTTTCCTCTGGATGCTCCTAAGGGGCTCCAAACATGAGGGAGAGCATCCCTAAATCCCATCCTTTTTTGGAAAGCATCCAAGAAATGCCTCTGCCATTCCTTTTCCAGTACTTCTCCAACTTCCCTGTTTTAAATCCTTGTTGCTCTTTCAGGGAAAGGAACTGTTTGCAGACAAGGGCTTGGATTCCTCAGAGGACTCTGTGGGAAACCAGAGAGAGGCTGTTGGGTAAGGACTGATGAGTTCTTTCTACATTTTGGCACATGCTATTGATTTTGAAACTAATATAATGGGTTCTTTGAATTCTTTTGAGGAAGACATTTGGGCCCAACATGGAGTCTACACACACATAAAAACTGTTCTGAAAATGCTTTTTAAAAAATACATTGACTTTTCCATAAGGCTCACCACCGTCATTTAGTGTCACATTGCATATTGCACTGAAAACACACTTAAAGCCTTTTATTTGTGGCTGTGTAGCTGAGTCCCAAGAACCCCAAGGAGTGGAGATCCATTTTTGTAGCATGAAAATGTGAAATGAGTACAAACATCCAAATGCACTCAGCAGGCAAGACTTTACGTAAGGCCCACCTGAAGTTAGAGTCGTGCTGCTTGACCTCTGAGAGAAGCATGCACCTGTGTCTTCCTACTTGCCTTCTTACTTACAGGTGACCAAATGATGCCATCAAGACATGCTCCTCCATCTTTTCATGGTGCTGGAGGGGAAGCAGCGGCTGTGGAACCAGATCAAGTAGGAGGAAGAAGCCTTGTGGGGAAAGAGGCTGAGGGGTGGGGCTGCCTGGGTGCCTCCGGGCCCAAATGAATCTCTCCCCCTCCTCCTGCTGCTGTGAAACTGCCCTTAACAAAGTCTGAACATGCCATTCCAGAAGATTTGTGTGCTGTGAATAATCAACAGCCACCTCTCCTTAACTAGGTTTCCGAGTGTTGCTAGTATTATTTACCGTATTTTTCACTCCATAGGGTGCACTGGACCATAAGGCGCACCTAGTTTTTAGGAGGGGGAAAAAAAAATCTTATTCCCCACCCCAGCCCCAAAGAGCAGCGGACAGGCTTCTGGAGCTGTCAGGTGAAGCCCGGGTTCGCTGTCTTGGCTTCGTTTTTAGCCGTGCGCAACCTCTCCTGGCTGGAGAGGTTGCGTGCTGCCTTGGCTTTGTTTTTAGCCACGGGCTGGGGCAGGGGAAGCCCGAGCTTCCCCCGACCCCAGCCCCCAGAACAGGTCGGGGAGCGGCGGCAAGGTTGCACGCAGCCTTGCCTCCGCTCCCAGAGCTTGGGGGCTGGTGGGGGAAGCCCGGGTTCCCCGCCCCCAGCCCCAGGGACCACACATTCGCTCCATAAGACGCACAGACATTTCCCCTTAGTTTTTAAGAGGAAAAAAGTGCATCTTATGGAGTGAAAAATACGGTATGTTGTTGCACTTTTATTTATATATTTATTGTTGAATGCTAAGACAGGCTTCTAAGCAGTGGCCAGGAGTCCTCTAGCCAGCCACATCAGTTGCACAATGGGGCTCAGCTCCCTTTCCTCCCACTCCTTGTGCCCCCATGCACCCCTTGCAGTTGGCTTTAGGGCATTGGGAGCCCCCCCCCGCCGCCGCCAAGAACAGCGCATTGGGGAGTGGAGTGGGGATCTTTCCATCTGGCAAGCTGGAATGCTTGCACAGAGAGAAGGATTTGAAGTTCCACCCTATTACACAAAATTAATACCCATCATTAAAATAGACAACAAAAAATCCATTAAAATGTTAAAACAAGCTCACATAATTGAAATGTGCAGCAAACCCATCCAATTAAAACAACACAGCAATTCACAGGCAGAAAATAGCAGAGCAGTGTACAGTTTATATTCTTCATGCTGTCTAAGAGGACAACCTTTTTCTTTTAGGGTCCAGTGTGCTTTGAAGATGTTGCTGTTCATTTCACAGATGAGGAATGGGTGTTGCTGGATCCTGACCAGAGAGCTCTGCATAAGGAAGTCATGGAGGAGAATCGTGAGGTCATGGACTCTCTCAGTAAGACTCCCTCTTGCTTCATAATTTCTGTTTTGATATTGAGTATTGTGACAAACCTCCAGTAATTGGATGGAGCTCAACAGCACCATCTACAGCATCAAGGATTCTAACTCCCCAATGGAGGACTATCAACTGTTTTGTCTGTGCATATTCTCCCTCCAGTTAGGCTTCAGAGCTGTTAGGAAAGTTGAAACAGCTTCTGTCAGGGTTTTTGGTTGACTCAAGAGAAAACTAACATTGGAGATGGAGAAGAATCCATGATTGGGCAAAGCAAAATCCATCCCAGAAAAGAGTCAGGCTTTATTGACCTCAGGTTCCTATAAATATGTCAGTTAATACAAAGACACTGAACCTTGTAGTAAGACCTGGGTGTTCATCAGTATGCATATAATATCCAGCTCTACCTCTCTTTCAAATCAGAACCTCGGTCCAGTATACCTGAAGGAGTGTTTCCACCCCCATCGTTCTGCCTGGACACTGAGGTCCAGTGCAGAGGGCCTTCTGGCGGTTCCTTCACTGCGAGAAGCCAAGTTACAGAGAATCAGGCAGAGGGCCTTCTCGGTAGTGGCACCTGCCCTGTGGAACGCCCTCCCACCAGTTGTCAAAGAGAAAAACAAGTACCAGACTTTTAGAAGACATCTGAAGGCACCCCTGTTTAGGAAAGCTTTTAATGTTAGACAGATTATTGTATTTTAATATTTTGTTGGAAGCTGTCCAGGGTGGCTGGTGAAACCCAACTAGATGGGCAGGGTATTATTATTATTAATAATACTAATTATTATCAATAAATGAATGAATAAATAAATAAATAATTGTCTAACTCCCTTCTCTTTTCTCTCTCTCACAAGCATTGATTATCATTGTTCAATAATCTGGGGCTCAGTTTCTTCCTAAGGCTCTAATCCATTTCTCTTATTGTCACAGGTGCTGATGAATTGGAAATTAAGAACAGAGAGACCACTGCAAAAATCCACACAGTGGAGAGCCATTATAACTAACATGGTTGTGTGGAGAAAGCTTCAGTCAGAGCTTCTATTCCTCTTCCCATCAAAAAAATCCCATTGAGAAGAAACTCTGTCAGTGCTTGAAATGTGGGAAGAGCTTCAATTCCAAGAGGAGTCTCACTTCCCCATCAAAAAACTCATAGCAGGAAAAAATCATATACAGTGCCTTGGAATGTGGAAAAAAGCTTCACCTGGAAGCAAGTCTCACTTCCCATCAAATAATTCATACAGGGGAGAAACCATATCAGTGCTTGGAGAGCTTCGCCTGGAAAAGTAAGTCTCACTTCCCATCAAATAATTCATACAGGGGAAAAACCATATCAATGTTTGGAATGTGGAAAAGAGCTTCAGTCGTATGAATTCTTTGGTGGGAAATGAGGCTTCCTTGCAGGTGAAACTCTTTCCACATTCAAAGCACTGATAGGGATTCTCCCCACTGTGAGTTCTTTGATGGGAAGTGAGTGGGCCCTTCTGACTGAAGCTCTTTCCACATTCAATGCACTGATACGGTTTCTCACCACTGTGAATTCTTTGATGGGCCGTGAGATGCGCCCTCTACTGAAGCTCTTTCCACATTCCACATTCAGTGCTTGGAATGTGGAAAGAGCTTCATTCGGAAGGATAATCTCACTTCCCATCAAAGAATTCACAGCGGAGAGAAACCCTATCAGTGCTTGGTATGTGGAAAGAGCTTTAGTCGGAAAGAAAGTGTCACTTCCCATCAAAGAATTCATACAGGGGAGAAACCATATCAGTGTTTGGAATGTGAAAAGAGCTTCAATCAGAACACCCATCTCATTTCCCATCAAAGAATTCATACGGGGGAGAAACCATATCAGTGCTTGGAATGTGGAAAGAGCTTCAGTAAGAGGGCGCATCTCACGGCCCATCAAAGAATTCACACTGGGGAGAAACCATATCAGTGTGTTGAATGTGGAAACAGCTTCAATTCCAAGGGGACTCTCACTTCCCATCAAAGAATTCATACAGGGGAGAAACCATATCAGTGCTTGGAATGTGGAAAGAGATTCAACCAAAAGGAAAATCTCACTTCCCATCAAAGAATTCATACAGGGGAAAAACCGTATCAGTGTTTGGAATGTGGAAAGAGATTCAGTCGAAATTCCCATCGCACTTCCCATCAAAAAACTCACAGCAGGGAGAAACCATATCAGTGCTTGGAATGTGGAAAGAGATTCACCTGGAAAGGAAGTCTCACTTCACATGAAAGAATTCATACAGGGGTGAAACCATTAAAATGCTTGTGATGTGGAAACAACTTCAATTCCAAGGGGAATCCCGTGGTCCATCGAAGAATTCATACAGGGGAGAAACCATATCAGTGCTTGGAATGTGGAAAGAACTTTCAGTAAGAGCACCAAGCTCACGTCCCATTAAATAATTCACCGTGGGGAGAATCATAGAATTGTAGCATTGGAAGGGACCCTAAGGTTAATCTCTTGTCTTTGTCCATGGAGTTTTCCTGGCAGGCATACTGGAGTGGATCACGTTTGGTCAAAACTCTCCACTATGACCTGTCCATCTTGGGTGGCCCTGCACGGCATAGCTCATAGCTTCTCCGAGTTATTCAAGCCCCTTCGCCACGGCAAGGCAGTGATCCATGAAGTGAGTGAGGAGGAATTAAAGAACCTTTTAATGAGGGTGAAAGAGGAGAGCGCAAAATATGGTCTGAAGCTCAAGATCAAAAAAACAAAGATCATGGGCCACTGGTCCCATCACCTCCTGGCAAATAGAAAGGGGAAGAAATGGAGGCAGTGAGAGATTTTACTTTCTAGGGCTCCATGATCACTGCAGATGGTGACAGTAGTCACGAAATTAAAAGACGCCTGCTCCTTGGGAGAAAGGCGATGGCAAACCTAGACAGCATCTTAAAAAGCAGAGACATCACCTTGCCAGCAAAGGTCCGTATAGTTAAAGCCATGGTTTTCCCAGTAGTGATGTATGGAAGTGAGAGCTGGACCATCAAGAAGGCTGATCGCCGAAGAATTGATGCTTTTGAATTCTGGTGGTGGAGGAGACTCTTGAGAGTCCCATGGACTGGCAAGAAGATCAAACCATCCATTCTTAAGGAAATCAGCCCTGAGTGCTCCCTGGAAGGACAGATCGTGAAGCTGAGGCTCCAATACTTTGGCCACCTCAGGAGAAGAGAAAGACTCCCTGGAAAAGACCCTGATGTTGGGAAGATTGAGGCGCAAGAAGAAGGGGGTGACAGAGGATGAGATGGTTGGACAGTGTCTCGAAGCTACAAACATGAGTCTGACCAAAACTGCAGGAGGCAGTGGAAGACAGGAGTGCCTGGCGTGCTCTCCCCATGGGGTTACGAAGAGTCGGACACGATTTAACACGCCTAAAACAACAAACAAGGTTAATCTAGTTCAACCTCCTGCAATGTAAAGAATCTCGGCTGAAGCATCCATGACATGACCATCCCAGCCTCTGCTTATAATCCTCCAATGAAGGAGCACCCCGCCGCCCTCTGAGGGAGTTCATTTCACTGTTTAACAGACTTTCCACCCCAGAAAGCTCTTCCTTGAGCTATTTCCACCATCTCAGCCTCCTCTTTTCGAGGCTAAACACAGCAGTTCCCTAAACCATTCCTCACAAGGCTTGTTTATCCAGACCCTTGATCCATCTTAACCACCCTCCTCTACACATAACTGGACCCCGTATTCCAGGTGTCATCTGTCCAAGGACTAGTCTGACCTTGAAACTGGCACACCTATACTTCAGTTGATGCAGACATTAGCCTTTTTGACTGCAGCGTCACACTGCTGACTCGTGTCAAGCCAAGTATTACCCATTGTATTATGTTCAGCTGATTATTCCTGGTGTTAGTGCAGAACCTTACATTTGTCCTTATTAAAATTCATTTATTGCCTTTTTTATACCACCTTTTCCTCCAAGGAGTATTAAAGGTCACAGTCCATCACACTTTTGCTGCATGGTATACTCATGTGTAGGCACCTTGTAGCAGCTTTCAGTCTTTCTGCTGAGTTTCTGGAAGCAGTCGTCAGCAGTTGAAGCTACACTTTGAGAAGAAACATTCACAGACACCGTAAAACTCAGTCACGTGTTTTATTGCTTGGACTGGTCCATAAATGCTTCACGGTAACACTATTTACAATCATTATAGCAAGAGCTGTAACGTCTAACTAAGTCTCACTCTTTTTAGCAGCGAGATGCAGGCGGACACAGTCTATAGGCAGTCATGACACTACAGTTTGTAGGGCAGCATTTGTTGGTCGGTTGTTTGCAAAGAAAAAACAAAAGTTTCTGCTTTTATCAGCACTTGCAGCTGAAGCCTGCGCATGCTCAGAGTGCCAATCCCACTTATATACGACTGTTCTGGAATCTTTTCACTGTTCTGGATGAATGCCCCCCCCAGTCATATATTAAATACGAAGGGTATATGGCTCGGGGCTCAGCGTTCAGGCACGAGTGGCTTGGCGCAGTAGTTGGGCAGACGGAGGGGGTGGAGGGCGAGCTTGCAATCACCTAAAAAAAGCTCACTGCCGTGATGTTTAAATATACAATACTAAAAATACCAGTCGTTTTGAATATTTAGGAAAAATATCAAAGTTATGTTTGATGTTTAAAATTTTGATTTCTTAATTTGGGGTTCACCATCCGTGTATAAGACAAACCTCAATTTTTGAGTAAGTTTTTTAAAGCAAAAAACATTGACTAACACATGGAAAAAGATGGTAACTACAAATGATGGTTTCCTTTGCAAAGTGAACAGTTGCAATTATATCTTTGCACTGTCAACAGTTCACATTTGAAAGCAAGACCAGACTAGAGCGTAGTTCAATCGCGGACTGTGGGTTGGGGGGAGGGGTGTCGTCGTTAATCCAGGAGAATTGCTCTTTCAGGGTTCTGCCAGAGCCACAGATCTCCGGCATTGAATGTGTTGGCCTGGTGTGGGGCACCAAGGAGAGCCTGGCTGGCTGGCGGGTGTATCAACCACCTAGACCACTGACAGCCACCCTGTCAGGCCTGCTGGAGGTGGTGGCAGGCTGGGCCTTGGAGTTCCCTAACCTATTGGTTTTGGGGGACTTCAGCGCCCATGCTGACACTGCCCCTTCCTCATGGGCTCTGAACTTGGTGTCTTCCACGGCCTCACTTCGTTCAGGAGCTGACAGAGGCTGGGAATCAAAGCAGGAAAAGAGAGATAAGGACACTGGAATGTGAGAGGGAGGAGGGGCAGCCCAGTGGCATAGCTTCAGAAAGCAGAGAGCAGGCAGCAGATAGCAAAGATCCAAATACCAACCTTAGCTCAGAGACAGAAGGGGAGAGGCTGGGAATAGATAGCCCAAAAACTCGAAGGTGCGAAGAGGTCAGTGAGAGGAGGGGGAAAGAGCGGAAGCGAAAGGGTTTTCCCCCTGTTGGAAGAAGAAGAAGGGCGGAGTTTAGACTCGGCAACTGCAAACTTGGAGTCAGACACAGAGTGAAGGAGCTCTGGAGTGATTTATGTGTTTGAGCAATAAACCTGAGATAATTACTGCCGGTGTCTCGCTTCTGTGGGAGAGCCAAGCCATTACACTAGGGCTCTCCCAGTTTGTTTTGGCAACACATGTCAAGCAGGCAACACACTGGATTTGATTTTTGGCACAGGTATAGATTAGGGTTAGGGGCAGGGTTAGAGTTATGGATAGGGGGTTAGGGTTTAGGGTGAGGGTAGGAGTTAGGGTTAAGGGTTAGGTTAGGTTAAAGGTTAGGTTAGGGTAAGGGTTGGGTTAGGGTAGTTTAGGGTTAGAGCAGGGTTAGGGATTGGGTTAAGGGTTAGAGCACCGGGGTTAGGGTGCCCTCCACCAGAGGGGTCATGGCTGAGTCAAGGTAGCAGAATCGTATGATTTGCTGCCTCACTCAGATTCTGGCGCACCTCTCCCTTCTGTTACCCCGTTTATTATAGAAACAGGCCACCGACTGGACTGGAAAGTATGCTTAAAACATATAGTTTACTCACAGTCAAG